AAATATAGAAAAGATAAATATTAACTTTAGATACAACTTGGTTAAATTTACCCAATGATCTTTATCAATACTAGTTCAGGCTTCACTAATATGACAGACAGGAGCAATACAGTACCCTAAAATTATCTGACAATAAAGTAACTTCTTCCAAGTAGGAATAATCAGTGTCTTCGACCTCTATGGAAAGAGGAAGAAAAGTAGATTTAAAAAGTGTGCTGAGTATAGTTATGAGAAGGAATAAGCTCCTAATAAACTATTAAAAGGGCATCAAGAAAATGTCATCACTACTGTGCACGAACTGTGACAAAAAAACCCCCAGAATCACATAAGCCTTAAAACAGGGCTACATGCCGCCAACAGTACACCTACAACACCTGATCAAACAGATAAAAAAAGACAAACGTTTGACAAACCGAAAAAATTACAGAATTATATGTCTGTCAAAAAAACTTTTCTGGCTGCCAAGCAAGTCATAGTAACTGATATCAGACCCCCCTCAACCTTGACATTTTCTCCATTCCTGGGTCCATGTCACAAAGACAAGGATCTAAGGGCTGGTATGCCATGTAGCCATTTCCTTGAGATACAGAGAAGATACTGTGGGACATGTGACTGAGGTATCTGCTGCCAGTTCCAGTATGGTAGAAAATGTAAGTCATCTCTTATCGCAAGTTTGACAAGATCGAGTGACCAATTAACCATGAACATGTCACTTGAAATCTTGATTTCAGCCTTTGAAAAAAATCTTTAATGGTTACATATCCAGAAACAGAATCGAGTGGCTTGTTTGCTTCATGACATCTACAATTTTGCTTAAATCTTAAGGATTTCTCAACAAAAGCTAGACTGATGGCATCTCATTTCATTTTTGCTGAGGACCACACTGTCAGCCATGTTTTGAATTCTTACTCTTAAAAGAGTTCAGATTTGCATGCCTTCTGAGTGTAAATAACACCTTTTATTTCCAGAGCATTGCTATGCACATCTTTATATTTAGAGTACGATGCGTTATGAAGCTCATACAAATTAACTGTTGAAAAGACAGGTTTAAGAAGGCTGTCTTGGTGAAAGGCCCAGATTACAGTGAGACCTCTATGACAGTTTCTCAACTTGCTGATATGCGAGCTTGATAGCTCAAAGACTAAGAGGGCCAATGACAATAAAGAATTACCGCACATGTAGTTTGACGAGGCTGATGATATGGTAGCCATCAGTCTGAAGACGGTTACTACAAAAATTTCTACAATAATGTTATAGGTAGGAAAGTCTTTCCAGCTGGTATCCACAGCAGACTTGTGACATGTAGCCATTCCAGCTGGATGCAAACTGGATTTGGCAAAATTTGTTTGAATTTCAATTGGCACAGAGCTTCACAGCTGATTCTAAAGTCTCACAGAGCTTGATAGGAGTTTGAACTCTTGGTGAGTTGATCATCTTGACATACAGACTACTAACAGAGCTGTCATTTAATGAAGATCTATCAAGCTGATCTCTGAACAAAGCACTGATGACGTAAAAATGGACCTCTGGTCTTAGTAAACAGAATCTAGTAGTCAACTGTTTCCAGATTCAAAATCTGCTGGCCCTCAGTTGACCAACACAATTTTCCTGAGGAATGTATCTATATACTTTCCCTTAATCCAAGAGGATTTGGAGTCTTAAGTGCCCTCACCTGGCCTTATTTTCAACCAGAAATAATGGGTAACCTCTGCCAATCCTCCTTATAGCAAAATGTCCAATACTCACTTGGCCAATAAAACTTGAGTCTTTTCATTACACATTTCATTCAAACATTCACTGTAATCATTCCAGACATGCATGCAGTTTATCGATGACCTCCTGCCTATAAAGCTGATCCTATCTGAGTAGGGTAAAACAAGTGAAAAAGAATCTTAGATGATGATTCTGCTGAACATGAAGAGGTTAATTCTTGTATCCATGTCGTTCTGGAGAGTCTCCCTTTTTCCTATACCTGTAAGGGTGGTTTCGGGGTTTGTACCAATCCCCTCTGGAACATCCTCTGTTGTGATAATACGCTTTCTGATCATGACTATTAAAGTATCGATGTTGGTTGTAGTATTTACTGTGATCCTTATAGTCATTTTCTTTAACATTGTTTTCTTCTGTAACAACAGCATTTACATCTTGTCCAAAAAGGGAAGTACCATCAAATGGCAAGTGTAAGATCTTTTCCTGAGTTTTCTTACTGAGAGATGTAAGTCGGAGCCAGGCCTGCCTTCTATAGTCTATTGCCATGGCCATAACTCTGACTACAGAGTCCATTATGTCCCTAGTAGTACAAAGCTGCCAAAGGCCTGCATCCATACCATCAGATATTATACACCTTGCTTTTTCATAATCAAACTGTGGGTTATGAACTAAATCCTCCATGTCTTCCCAGAGTTTACGCTGATATTGAGTCATATAGGCCATATAGCTAGCAGCTCGGGCTGCAATGGAGGCAGCATGGTAGAACCTACAACCCATGACCTCCATTTCTTTTGAGGTAGAATCTAGAGGAGATGTTGTGCTCCCTCTTTTGCTGTGCTCTAATGCTTCTACAATGGGGCCCTCAGCCGGTGGGTTTGGTTGGAAAGGAGAGGTATCCTTGGACACAGGATATACCCTATGTCCCATGAAAGAAGAAGGGTGACAATCAGCAGGGTCCTTAAAAACCTCAGTGGTGGCAATTCTCAAAAGAGGATGCAATGGAGGAACCAAACGTTTTTTAGAGGTTACACAATCAGGTTTCCCTTCACATGACTCTGTTTCAGACTGTAATGTTACCCTCTTTATCACACCTCTCTGTTCCATTCTCTTCAAAAGACCTGTGAAACTAGATTGCATGGGGTCAGTCGGCTGCCCCTTGTTGTCAGCTGATGGAGATTTACAATCAGTTTCTTCAACTGTGGATAAATTTTCTTCCTTAGATGTGGAGAAGTCCCAAGGAACTGAAGAATTCTCGCTTGGCCTAGAATGATGAAACCTAAAACAGCTCCTGGACTGCAGGTCACGTATCACTCGGGACATTTCAGCCACTTGTGTCTGGAGATAGAGGATGGCATCCTGTCCATGTTGTGAAGTAGAAGACTCTACAGGTAAATCCTCTTTGACCTCAGAAGAGTCCAAAGATTCCTGGGGGACTAGAAGTGAAGTTGAAGGCAAAGTCTGATATTTTTGTGATGGTTTAAGCATCTCTGTCTCAGAGGTCTTATTATCAGAATTATTATGATCATTTTTCTGGTTTTCCAATGGGTTCTCAACAGAGGAAAGTTGAGAAACTATCCTTTGTGGACTGCTGGCACAGCTCCCAGAGGAGGAGCTGCTGTCTCCAATGGGAAGAGGAACACTGCAGCTAGACCGACGATTCTCAGAGGATGGCACCTTAGATTCAGGCATTCTCTGGGTTATCCACATGAACAAGAAAACCAAGGAAGAAAAAAAATACGCTTTTAATATGTTAACTTTCAAATGCAGAGATGCATGTCCAGTCAGTAGAATTCAATTTTCAATTATTACAAATAAAAATGAAAAGCACAGTCCATTACAGGTAAGCAAAGAGGTAATAAAGTCGCATCCACAAGCTTCACTACCCCAAGCCCTGTATCAACTATGGTCATAAATATGGGATGACTACATCTATGAAAAAGCATAGTAAAACTAAGCTCAGTTTAAGTAGTGTTATTTTGGCCAGCTGCCTGGTCCCATGCTAAGATAAGGGGTCAGACCACCGTTAATAACAATTAATAGGGGCTGGGGATTTAGCTCAGTGGCAAAGCGCCTGCCTGGCAAGTGCAAGGTCGTGAGTTCGGTTCCCAATACTGGAGAAAAACCAAAAAAAAAAAATTAATAAAAGAAAAAAAAATCCCACTCAACATGTGTAAGTCAACAAGTGGAAGCTAACAATGAAGAAAGTCACATTGAGAACAACAAAAAAATTCTACATCTCCCTTTATTAGATTTATTTTAAGTCCTTTCAAAATCCTGTCATTTATTCTCCATGAGTAACAACTTTCCAGGTGAATACTCTAACCTTAAGGTTTGTAGTTTGTTTTTATTTTGGTACTAGGAATCAAACTCAGGACCTTGCACTTGCCAGGCAGGTGCTGTGCCCTGAGCTATATCCTTGGCCCTATGGTTTGTAGTTTTGAGGAGCTTTTTTATTTGTTACCTTACTTCATCTTCACCACAACTCTGTGAGATAATTATTACTCTCATTTAATTAAAAAGCTAAAACACAAGGTTAAAAGGTTAGTCTATCCAAAGTATCAGTAATAATAAAGAGTAAAGGTGGCCTCAAACCTAGTTATTTTGACTCCAAGTCCAAGTCTCAATCCCTTATGTCATAAACAAGAGTTCTTTAATCCATCAAGAAAATAGCCCACTAATAAAACTGGGGCTAAGGAAAAGACAAATGACAAGCAAGATGGCTACAAAGGATTCAGTTGATTCATTCTAGAAATAAGGAAGTATTGGCTTAAGGGTCTAACCCACAAGCAGCAAGTCACAGTTTAAGACTAGTAATTCCAGGTATGGTGGGTTGTAAAAGGGACAAAGATCGAAGTAATAATCAGCTATTAACCCTCCCCTACATTCCATTTCCCAAAGGATCTTCACACATCTTCTAAGATAAAACAACTTTTCAATGGTCACATGGTTTTGGAAGGATCCAGACAGTACAGGAAAGGAGAAAGGCAAAAGGAGTCAAAACGCTTGTAGTGTTTATTACACTTCTCTTTTATCAGGTACCTCCTTCAGGAATTTCCTAGTGATTTTATCTTCTTATATCTTCACTGAAACTAAAGAAACAAAATTAAAAGTAGATGTTCTGGGCAAGAAACTCCTTGGATTAGCTATTGTGGACCATACTAACAAAAACAGGCCATTTTCTAGAGCACAACAGCTCCTAAACAAAGCCATCATTGACTTGATAACTTCCTTTAGAAAAACCTTTCCACTGGCACAAATGGAGAAATGTAAATCAAATGTAATGTACTTACCTCACTATGTGAGGTGCTAGGCTCTTCATCATCACTGCTGACCAGATCAATGTATTCAAGAACAGGTCTTAATGGTCCTTCCTAAAAGAATTGAGCAAATTTTAAAAGTTGTAACGTTTATTTAAACCAAGCTAGCATTTAAAACAATTTTTAGTCCAGACTGGTTCTGAAGAGGAAGCCTATGAGTTGAAGAAAAACACAGAACAAAAGAAATAGGAATATTCAAAGCACGCAAGTTAAAAATGATGACAGGACCTAAAAAGAGCCCAAACACCCACTGATACCAGGGCCATGCCAACTGCCTGGGAAAGGAAAATACAGAAATACTTGTAAAATGACACAGACACTATGGTTCAATGTTTTTCAGCTGGGATGGGTCTGTGAAACTATCCAAGCTCATCACAGGATGGGGGTATAGCTCAGTGGTAGAGCACCTGCCTAGCAAGTGACCCAGAAGAAAAAAAAGAAACATGAAAAAAAGATCCAACCCCAAAGTGTGGAGCTCTCTGACCAACAACTTAGCTTCCACTCCCCCACATACATCAAATCCAAAGTCTCTTCCAACCTTTCTTCCTATTCACTCGGACTTATTTCTTCATATACCAGGCCTTGAATGCCAGCTGAAAATCCTAGGTTTTACTCTATAGGTAGAGGAAAGCAATAAATGAGACTCGTAGGGGAAAGCCCGACAACTAATCAGCACGGCACATAACAGAGTAGTGGTAATGGTTAGAACAGTGAAGTAGTGCACATACAAACAATATGGGAAAGCAGGAAAGAAAAAACTGGGTATTAAAGAAAGAACAAAATCAAGGGGTCCAAGAGGTTTTTAGGTTTTAAACCTTAGATGACTATATCATTGGCATAAATTCACAATGTAAAAACAAGAAAGTGATGGCTAAAGTACCCACAGTATACAGGGTTAATTGACAACTGGAAATGTGGGCCCATAATCTAGAATTATTAACAACATGGAAGTAAAGATTTAGGAGTTCCTCCCCAGAAGACTACTAATTCTAGAACTAAACTGTAACTATAACATTGCCTCAACAAAAAACCGTCATTGTAACCAAAGCATTGAGCTCAATAAGGCCGATAACGCTGAGAATCAAGATGTCACTGGAGTTTGCAACAGGACATGTGTAAAAGCGAGCAACACTGGAATAAAGTAGTGAGAACTTAAAAAGGTAAGGAGAGCCAAGTCTGTGGTACACACCCACAATCTCATTTACTCTGGAGACAGACAGGAGGATCTCAAGTTCAAGGCCAGCCTGGGCAACTCAGCAAGAGCCCGTCTCTGTACAAAATTAAGAGCCAGAAATGCAAGCAGAGCACTTGCCTAGCTGGGGGTGGGGGTGGGGGCAGGGGTAGAAAAAGAGCATCAGTAAAGATTATTTCTTCAAAAAACCTAGTACTGTGTGTTAGACAGAAGCCAGAAGGTATGCAGGAGGAGAAAGAACCTGAGGAAAAAATTTCTTAGAATGGGAAAAGTCATTTGTTGGTGAAACAGTTAAGATCTAGTTAGTGATTCTTTTTCTCTAAAAGAGGCACTCAGTCTCAAAGACAGCTTGTTTCTCCAGGGCTATCCTTTCGAGTCCAGACACCAAGATAAAACCAGCAGACGATAAAGGAATCAAAATTTTTACAAACTTATATAAAGATGAATGACAAAAGGAGGAGGAGGAAAGGAAAAAGCTAAAGGAGAAAGAAAACATGCTCTTGTGTGTATGATTGACAGATCTGTATCACCTATTGGTATTAATACTGTCAAAGTCATGTGTTGAACTCAAGAAGGAGCAGATAAAGTACAGGAGATAAAACTATAACAGCTTTTACCATTCACATAATCACCCGAGTTCGCTCTCTCCAAGAAAGAAATGTACTTTACAAAATTTTACAACATCACAAAAATAGTAAACCAAGAAAGTCCTCATGTAACCAGAAACACATACAAGAGGGGCAGAATTTTCATAAATAGTAAATAAAATTTATAATACAAATTAAAATGGGCAAAAAAATGAGGAAAAATGGTCACAAACAGAATTAAAAATTAGCTGCAGAGGGCTGAGACAAGACTCTGGGAACCATTACACTGATGTAGAACCACTTCTAAACTACAGAAGATCACAGTTTTACGATTCATAATAATTTAGACAGAAGAATAAAGAATCAGGGGCTGGAAATATAGCTCATAGGTAGAGCACTTGTCCAGCCTGCATGAGGCCTTGATTTAATCCCCAAACACAGACACACACACAAATCAAAAACTCAAATGAGAAAAAGTCATCAGAAATTTTATTCACTCATTCAATGAATAAGTACTAATTTATGAGCAAGAAAGTGAGAGAATCGATGGGAAACTGAACTAGACTGTCAAAGAGAGATGGGACTATCTAGTGTGGTGCCTCAGTTCACCAATTTAATTCTTTCTGCAATTCTGGTCTCTAACCAAATTGGATGAGAACTAAATCAAATTCAGTGGTTAGGTTTAATGTGGACCTTATCGGGAAATTTGATTCAGTTCTTTTTCAATTCATTTTGTGCCCAGAATTGTGAAAAGATTTAAGTTTGTGAACTAAGGTGCCACTAGTAACTCAGTGGTACAGTTACTAGCATGCTCCAGGCCCCTAGGTTTGATCCACAGCACCAAAAAGAGGAAAAAAGGCGGGGGGTGGGGAGGGTGCCAAAACACCAAATGAACTTAAATGGAAAAATAAGGAAGGACAACTAATTTTCATGGTGGATACAGAAAAATTCCCACCATAATGAATTTAAGGAATCAAAACATACAGCCTTTTACTTACTTTACTACTAATCAATAACATTTTATTGAGGCTTATACCATTAAACACCAGGATAAGCTTTTCCTGCACATCATCTCATCCAATCCCCACAACTGTTTACAAAACAAGATCCAGAATTATTACTACTTATCTCATTTAAGAGATGATAAAAGAGTGAGGTTAAAAAAAAAAAAAACAGTGAGGTATACCTGGTTCTCTAAACACATAACTTGTGGTCACTGTAATTCTGTGTTACTTCAAAGCATAAATTTTGTTTTCAAATCAATGTTTATTATCCAAGTTTCTGAGGTAACATTTTATCTTCCTTCAATAAAAGAAAAAGGCTACCTGTTACTGCCCTTCTAAATATCTCGTAACACTGACCAAAAATAAGTTGATAATTCATCTACGAAGTAATGTTCACAATACAAATAAGGAAAAAATACACATTTACAATGACTTCTTATATTCTTATTAAGTACAAATACATGTGGTCCCCCCATTATGGAGTACTTTATTTTAATTTATACCACGTACCACCTAATACAATCACCATTCTTATCTTCTATTGTACCAAAAACAAAATCAAAGGATTCAAGTCTCAGTGCCATACAATTTAGCACCAAGGCGCTTGCACAAGCATGACAGAAGTTCAGGAACACAGCTGAATTAATAAAAATTTTAAAAGCCTAACAAAATAAAAAGCTGTCATTCCTCAGATTAGAAAACTTAATTCTCAGAGCAAAAGCACAAATTTCCTATTTGGAAAAAGATTTTAATACACTGAAGTATGTTCTACAAAAAAAAAAAAAAGTGGTTTACTTCAAAGAATGCTCTAAAATAATGACTACGGAGTTGGGCATAAATGCAAAAATCTAACTCAAAACCCCATATAACCGCGTTTTATTCCCCACATAGAGAAGCTAAAGACATTACTTTAATTCAGAAATCCTGCCCAGTTAAAACAACTTTCAAATGGTTCTCAATTGCCTATTTTATAATTCAACCTTGTGCCAGCATGCAGGATGCAGCATCTGGCCATCCTTCTCTCACCAACTTCAAAACCAAAAATAAAAACACATCCTCCAGAACCACATTCTCCTGCTTTCCTGTGTTCATGCTTTTTCTTTTATTCTGCTCAAAATGCCATTTGAAACACGTATAAATAACCAATTACTCAAGAACTGAACACTCTGATGTCCTTTTAAAGCACTAGTACTTTCTATAAAACAACTGTGTTAGAACTATTTACTTACTTCTCCTATCTGTACACCACACTAAATACTGACACTTATGGGAAGGTATATTTTTCCATTTAAACTAACAAGGGAAGATGTTTAACTTGTGGCTTTCCCATTATAAACTTCGACGTTCTTTGTGTTTAATGGGTAAATTACAGTCTAAGGAATCTAGTGAAAACCGCTCATTTTTTTATGAATCTGTTCTACTCCAGCTCAAGTATTAATATCCAACCTATACACTCAAGTTATTTATGAAACTGTCTTCATTTCCTTGGTTATACCATTTTTAATAATTGCATATAATACCAGTAATTTTGGCTAATACCTCAACCTTTTGTACTATGTATTATGAGATAGGCTGCCTTGGCAGTTTTTGCAACATTATATCTAACATGGCACTAGGCACAATCCTATCAACTAGGTGCTTGAAGGTTTTTGGAAATAAAACGGGTATAAAATCTGCCTTTCAAAGATTGAAAAAAAATACTTCAATAAAGAAGCATACTACTAAGCAGATAACAACACAACAGACCTAAGTGCAAAGCTGTTAAGGTAGCGTTGTTTCTTGATCTAGGTACTGTTTATGCAGAGGCACTGCCTTTGCAAACGCTGATCAAACACATGCACTTATGAACTGTGCATTTCTCTATTTCAATAAAATTTAAAAGAAATGGCTCGTTGCATTGCCATGTCTATTAAAATTCCTTTCCTTCAGCAGGCTGCACTTGGTTTCAGGCTCTGTATTTTAAAAATCATAAAGTCTGCTGTGCCATCATCACATTGATGAGAAAATTAGGTTAGTAAAAGCTAAAAAATTCAAGTCAGAGTAAATTAAGAAAGGGACATCATAATGTACTTTCTGTACCTGCAGAACTCAAGCAGAGAAATGTTTTTCATCTTTACTGGATAAGGATTACCTGGAGGAATCAAGTAAAGGATCAGGTTACAAGGAAATAAAAGATTCTGCCTCTGATCGTGTTTTAAAATACAATTAAGCTATTAGTAATTGTCAAGAAGTGGTACCACTTAAACAGCGAAAAAGTGGTACCACTTTTTTTGTGGGAGGGGTCTGGAGATTGAATCCAAGGCCTGCACACTGAGCTACATCCCCAGCTTTTCTTGTTTTCTTTTTTATTCTGAAGTAGGGTCTAGGTCACTGAGTTGCCCAGGCTGGACTTGAATTTCTTCAGCCTCCTGAAGTGCTGGGATTATAAGAGCACACTCTTATGCCAGGCAACAAAATTTTTAACAGGCTGCTTCTGATACTGTACCTGCACTTAAAAATATGTAATTTATTTTCCATTTAGAGCTGCCAAGCCACTAGACCTTCACTAAAAACAGGATAACTGTAAGAGGTCCTATCAAGTTCAGTGTACAATACACTGAGTAAATATTCTTGATGTAAAGACTTAAATGCTCTACACTTTAAATAAAATTTAAAGGTACTTTTAAACATCAGTTGAACAAAAGCCTATTGACTACTCAAAGGGTCATGATCCACAAAGAAGACTGCTATTCCTATTTCTATTTGCATGAAACATCAGAGTGAATACAGTGTTCATAAATATACCAAGACTCAAGAAGGACCTGAAATAGTTGTCCTAACAAGCCATGGAATCCTATTATCAAACACACGTGGCTTAACAAGCACAAAGCTCTCTGATCAATCCTCAGCACACATTCCCCTGAAAAGCAGCGCACAGTGAAGAGGCAGGATACAATTCCTTATCAGAAATCCTTAGAAGTTCAAGATGAAAAGGAGAGAGTACAACATGTGCCCGCAAGGGGTAAGAAAGATAAGAACCATCTTCACAACAAACCCATTAAAACACTGCGCAACACTGATTCACCACAACAGTACAACGTTTAGTTACCACTTTTATACAACTGACCAACAGCTTCTATCAATATATTTTCGATGAACACTCAAAAAAGATACAACTTTAACACCATACTACAACCACAGTATCCATGGAGAGCATTACGAGGTAGAAGTGTCTCCTAGCTAGCCACGACTGAAAGCAGAAAATTGTGAAAACGTAACAGCTAAAAATGAAAGCTTACACTGGCTTTATAAAGCCAATGCTTTATAAACGTGGTCAGAAATCCCTGTGTCCTGTATTTCTTCCAAAATGAAGATGCCTAGGCCCTGCCTTGGACTTTCTGATTAAGAACATCTAGGGTGGGTCAAGATTATCTGCCTGTTAACAGTCGTTTTTGTTTTTTTTTTTTTTCAGATGTTAAATACGGTCCCAAAGAGAGTAACTCAAAAAACACAGCACATTCCTGGGGACGCAGGCCTGTGCACCAGGAGCAGCAGCAGCAGCAGCAGCATCGAACGTCGCGCCACGCTGTCAGTGATGCTGCTGGTGCAGCTGGCAGGCTGTGCAGCCGCGGAACCGAGGCTCGGCGCTCCGGCCTTCCGCTTTCCCCTGTGTCACGATGACCACCGCTGGCGTGACGCTCCCCACGCCATCTCTGGGCAGACATCCTCCCGGCTTCAAACCAGACCCCAGTCTCGAGCGTGGAGCGCACGGAAGCGGAGGCGTGGGGCGTCCGGACCCAGCGTCCCCCCGGTGGCGGCCGCCCAGAGCCCGTCCGGGTCCCGGCGCCGCGGGGCCGGCCACAGGGCCGCGCTCTGCGCGCAGGGCTACTCACACTCACGAACTGGATGTCATCTTCTGTCTCCTCCGCGGCGGGCGCTGGGGCTTCGGGGCCGGCCGGGGAGACGGCATCCACGACCTGCAAAAGAAGCCAGACACTCAGCCCCGGCCGCCGGGGCCGGCCTCCCACGGGGGCGCGCACAGCTCCGAGCTC